CCGTTTAACAATCTCGTAACACGAATTGTATTTCATCCTTTCTTCAGAAAGGCTGTGATAATTCCCTTCAAACACAAATCTATCTGTTGTGATATTGCACTGTGAAAAAGTCCGGAATTCAAAGTGAACCCAAAATAAAAGTGCTAAATATGTCACCCGTAGTGCCATGTCTTGTTTCTTTGTTTTGCTTTAGAGCAAAGTAACATTGAGCTATCTGTTGTGTCCATCGCGGGGAATCGAACCCCGGATTTTAGCATTTTAAGTCCAGGAACTTACCGATATCCCACCGAGGGACGCATTGTCTCGTATCTGCAAAGACAAGTCACTGATTAAGCATAAGCAAATAATTTTATAAAGTGCATTTGTCACTTTGTTTTAAAAAAAATAAAAAAAATGTAAGTTTAAAAACCTGTAAATACGGACCATAAATAAAGTAAGAAAAACAAGGCTGGAGATGGTGTAGACATTATTTACTCAAACTACAAACTCCTATTTTGGTTTTATGCTTTTACCTAGAATTACATTTAGTGAAGTAAAAATAGGGATTTGTAGTTTGAGTAAATAATGTTTGCAGTATCGTCATCTTTGTTTTTTACTTTTTTGCGATCCCTATTTGCAGATTTTCAAACTTCCAATTTTTTATTTATCTTATTTACTGTCTTTTTTAACGCTCAACTATGGGCAAAGGATTACTGGATATGGTGGCTAACTTTATACATTGTAATGATAACAAAGATACCTATTAGCTAGCTGAAACTGTTTTCACATCATAAATAATATATGGGTTGGCTCCTTAAAGACACCGATTGTATAGTGGACAAAGCATTGAGTATCTACATGCTACAGTCATTTAATATTCATCTATTATTGGCTGATAATTCCTATTTCACCCTGCACTTAAACTTTTAAAAGGAACACCACATATTTATAAGAAAGCTAACTTCAAGGGGTAATGATAACATCGATTACACTAGAGTTATGATTTTCTTAGCTTATCTAAAAGAATCAATTCGACTTTTCAATACCTCTACGACTTTTGTATTACCTTATTTAGTATTATACAAAAGGTTTGGGTGCAATATACCAAGCCATTTTTGTTGTATGCTGGCAAAAGAATAAATAATGATAAGAAGAAGAAGAATTACAAACGGGCCATTTTGAGCGGATTTTCTTTTTCTGGTAAGTCTAATATGCGTGCTATTTTTGTGCATATTTATAGCAGTCAATAGTTAAGGTTTTAAAGTGTTGTTTGGACTGAATCTTTACTGTTTAAGAGGCTTTTTTGCGTGCATTCCTTGCGATCCCTGTTATGAACCACAAAAGACAGTTGATTTTAAAATTCTTAGGGATTACACTGTCTTTCACATAAAACGTATATTACGAAGAATGAATTCTTATTGTTCAGTCAGTGACTTATGAAAGAATAATGTTTCTCACAGAGAGTGCATATGCATGCTAGTCTAATTAAGATCTTACGGCAAGTATAAATGTATTGTTGAAAACGTACTCGATAAAAAGAATGTTTTGAAAAAAATCAAAGTGGCGTACGATACAAAGTATCTCAAGGCACAAAAAGAAACCATAATAATATCAAAATAATTTGTATTATTTGATAAAATTTAGAAGAAAAGCACATTACTTGTCAAGAATAAAATAACTGATATAAGATTAATTTACCCAAACTGAAAGACGAGAGGAAAAGTCAACAGCACCCACCGCCAACTCTTTGGCTTATATAATCGACTAGTACAATTTTACTGCCACTTATATCATACTCACAGTTCCAATGTGCGAAGTGCAATTTTGCGACAACGAGACGTGAACTTCGGGCCCTCGGAGCAGCCCGGTACGCTAACCACTAGGCCACACCCGCTCCCCCATACTGTTTGATACCACTTTTAGTACGAAGTAGAACAAACACGAAAACAACTCTTATAGAGTTCATTCTGTTTGATTAATTTTACTATAAAGTTTAAATAAAAGTTGGTTTAAATGTTAAAATAACACACGAAGTAAGTTCTGGAAGGATCTGTAAAATAAAACAGATTTTAAATGAAGAACCTAATAGTTACCTTCACCCAAGGTAAATAAGCTTCAGCAGCTTGACAGAGTTTAGATTACTATTAGATTGACCTAACCATTTAACCAATTAATCACCAATCATGTGAATGAAAAACTTAGTAATCTTAGATTGAAAGTAAAAATAAACATACTTTTAGATAACACTATTCATTTATATTGTTTATTATATCTAAAGAAATAAGAGTTGAATCGAGAAATTTCGATAGAAAGCATTAGCTATGAACAAGATACGAGCAATACTGCTGTTGTTGGCTTTTTTAGTGCAAAGCTGCACAATGGGATATATTTGTGCCCTGTCTACTACGGGGAACTGAACCTTGGAGTTTAGCGTTTTAAGTTCGTAAACTTACCGCTGACCCACCGGGGGACCTCAGCATTAACTATAGATTTCCGTTGAATCTCGGGTGATAGTTTGTGAAAAAAATAACATGACTCACACATGCCTATACTCTCACGTGACTAGCTATCTTTCAGCAATATTGTCACTGGTAGCACAGCTGTATGTTTAAGGACGTATAATGTTTAAAATCGAGTTTTGATATTTGCGGCTGGCAAAGCTTAGATAGCTCATTGTGTAGTTTTACGCTTAGTAACAAACAAACAAAAATTGGCAATATTACATAAATATGCACATTAAATGTCATTTCTATGTATATTTCTTCATACTTAATAAACAATTTTGCCAATTTCTAAACGTCAGGAAGCCATACTTATTTTCTGGTAGTCAGTCTAATTACCTATCATGCATTGTAGTTTAATGATAAGTTATTGATTTTATGCATATTTGCTTTTAATCCTAAGGCAATGTTGGTTATTGCTATCAGGCGCAGTATTCGTACCTAACTTGAAATACAAAATCTGTTATTTTGAATCGAACGAAAACTTTCAATTATTCGCAAATTTAGCCAGAAATTTCAGTTTTCTTTTGTTAACAAAATCTGTGCATGAAAGTTGTAATTATGAATTACAAAATTCAACAGAACGTACGAAGAGTATAAAACATTAAATCCTAGTTCCTGTTGGATCAATAAATCTGGGAGAATTCCTACGGCTTCAAGAGCAAGAGAGAGTAATAGTGCAGTGCGACAACTTGATTACATCTTATTACTTAACATTTTGACAGCATGGAGTCAACACTGTGAGGCGTGTAACACACTCACATACTTCATCTAGTGAAACTTAGCAACAAGACTCAAGAATAAAAACACAGGAAGCACTGACAAATAGTAGCACTTACACGTTCTTGATCATTACCACTTCAGAAGAAACTTAGCAGTAAGACTCAAGAGACACTGGTATGTAGTAGTAGTAGTAGTAGTAGTTATATACATTTGATTATTAGTCCTTCAGAGGAACTTAACAAGGCTCAAAAATAACTCAGGAAGCACTGTACATAGCAGTAATATACTCTTATATACTTCTGATCATTACTTTTTTACAGAAGAAACCCAATAACAAGAGACACAGTTAAGAATAAAACCTTTCTGCTATAAATAACTAATCCTTAAGACATGGACGTCCGCAGGGGAAGGGGGTGCAAGAGGGGCACTTGCCCCTTCCCCCTGGAAAATGGGAAACATAATTCTTTTTTTATTCATTCAGCTTATGTGTATGAATATTTTATTCACTTCGCAATTTCACACTACTTTGCCCCCCCCCCCCGGAAAACTTTCTGCGTACGCTCATGCCTTAGAATTATATTTTATCAGATGGAACTTAAAAACATGACTCAAGGAAAACAACACAAAAGACTCTACATGCAACACCTTTTAACAGTCACGTACTGTAAATAATAATTAGTCATTCCTTCATCGCATAAAGCTTAGGAACAAAAATCAAAAGCAACTAAAGAGGAGGCCCAGTACTTCAATATTTACTGTAAATAAATAAATCACTGAACATTCCTTCATCAGATTAAACTTAACAATATGGTACAAAAATAACAACTCATGAGATTCTACACGTAGTAACTAAACTTTTGAACGTTACTTCATCAAATGAAATTTAAAAAAGAAGGTTAAGGATTGGAAAAAACAACACGTAGTCACTTAATTTCTGGATATAATCAGGTGAAACATAAAAACATGGCATAAGAATAACACACACTATATTTGTGGAGTGCCAAATATCTCCTTGTTTACCTATACCTTTATTAATAACGGTAACTTGCTTGAATCTCAAATTAATACTGTCGGTAAAATTGCAAATGTTATAATTATATGTTTTGTCACGCTACGCAACTCCAACAATCAGATTCAAACTATCAAACGCTTGCTTGTTTAGTTGATCATACAACAAACGTAGATATTCATATTTCTATGAGACTGCTAGGATGTGTTATGGTGAAGATCTCAAACTGAAACCTTGTAAAGTATTTTTTTGTATAGATATATATCAGTTCTTGCTCCTGTTACAGGATAAGATAAAGAATAAAATATATGAGGTTTTTTTACAGTCAGTACACGCACACAGCTGTGTTCCGTTTCCCCCCCACCCGAATTCTAGATTTGTTGAAATCGACGATTGGATTAGTTTAATACTTTTAGAAAATTGTTATTATAAAATTTAGAATAACATTTTTTTAGCCGAATGACTGTTTTTCTTACAAGATTCTTCATAATGTTAGACAATGAACGTAGACGTTAGATGTCTTTCTTGTCAACGAGTTGGTGTAGAACTTAACTGGAATTTGAATAACAGATAAATAATAAAGTAATAACCTTTATTTCCTCTTATGCACATGGAAAGTTAAAAAATATATATTAGTTTCTTCAAAAAATACATATAGATATTTTATGTTGAGTTATACTGGCATGTTGACAAATTGTATTATGAAAATCAAACGTAAGAGATGTCGCTTTTCGATATTACCATGGAAACAAGATTAAACACAGAAAGTCAAAGTCGTGAACGTCAACATGGACGACGAAAATGTAGATAATACAGATACAGTTGAAGAAAATGATACGGAAGAGTCTAAACCTACAGAAGATGATTCAAAACTTGTCGAAATTGAGAGAACATTAGCCATAATAAAACCTGATGGTGTGGATAAAGCAAATGAGATTGAGGAAACTATTCTTAACGAAGGGTTTACCATATTGCAGGTGAGATAATATACCACAAATTACAAGTAAGATTACCACGTTCATGTTATATTATTAAAGGCATAATTAGGTCTATTTTCATTGACTTATTAATATTAACTCAATTTTGACTGTTAATAGTATCTGCATGACTGTGGACTGGAAGGTTAGTTTGAAAAAGAAAACGTAAGTTGGGGGGGGGACTTCCAAACTAATGCTGCCCATTAATCTAATTGTAGATATGCTTTAGATTTGGCCCATTGTCCCCTCCTACAGTTAAAAAAAGCTGGAGCCGGGACTGAATATATTATCAAGGAAACGTGAAATCAGTAGAAAGATCAAGTTGTGATAATATTTTACTATCATAATTACAAAATACACACACAAAAAATTGCTTAAGATACAGTTCTTTGGATTATTAGTGCCAATTGAAATAAAGCTACCCCATTTTTCTTTTTACATCAATTTTATAGGTTATACTTAACTCCGAAATGGACCGACAGAGAAGATAATAAATACGACTGTTCAGTTAAAAGTCAGCTAAAAAAATATTTTAAAATAATTAAATTAAGCCAAGCGTTGATTTAAAAAAAAATCTAGAATTTTAGGGTTTTGTACTAAACTCCGAAAAAAAAAGATATTTCTTAAAGGGAATATAAAACACGTTTTATTTTGTTTCCCATTGTCATAAAATAGAAAGTGAAATAAATTGTTGTCGAAACTGGTAAATAAGTGCAATACCTATGTAATTTTTTTTAATCACAAGTACACTCTCACACACAATAACAAACTCCAGACTTTTCTGTATCACATGGCCTATAACTATAAAACAGAATATAGGCCCACTGTATACATATAGTACTATATAGCAAACGGACTCAAAATCCCCATTGACAGTACTATACCGTTTCCCTTGGAACGGATGTACAGTATCATAATAAAATGAACTCTCATATTATACTGTAAAATAATAACAGAACCAGTGCCGCCCACAGAAATCTTCGCCAGGCATCCCTCTGTCTTGTTTTATGCTCATGACACGCTGGCGTAGAGGCCAAGTTCTCCAAATGCCTGGGACTAGATACCCTACTGCCCCTCCCCTTCTTGTGGGCGGTACTGAACAATTTCTAGATACGGGTACTGTTGTGAATTTTTTTTTTCATGCAGCCTAATATCAATATAATGATTTTACTGTTTTTTAAATGAAGTTGCTGTAGTGTCTGTACGTAACTCATGATGCTTTATATTTCAAAAATAGAAACGAAGTCTACAGTTGACACCAGAACAGGCAAGTGAATTTTATGCTGAACATTTTGAGAAACCTTTTTATCCCAGACTAGTAACCTACATGTCAGGAGGCCCTATTATTGTAATGGTTTTAGTTCGTGAAAATGCAATTTTACACTGGAGAGAAGTGATTGGTCCAACAAAACCATCAGTAGCTAGAGAAACAAAACCTGACAGGTGACTTTTTAATACTTCTAGCATAAATTAATATGAACTTTTAAAATCGGTCAAAAAAAGAAATAAATAAACAACTGCTATGTTAGAAGTATTGTTAATAAAACCAACTGAATAGAGAAGAGGAAGGAAACCTGCACTTACTCAGTTTTTTTTATCGTAGTTACATTCAAGTGTTTATCACTTTTCAAAATAATTTGTCTGGTTTCCCATAAAAATTAATCATTTCGAACAAAACTTTTGTTTTATCATAATTTTGACTGCTAAAAATTGTGGAATAATATGGTAAAATAATATTTTTTGTAAAATTTACGAGCCGATTTGAAGTGTGTATTAAACTGTCCTAAAGAGAAATTACAGCTACAATGAATATAAAAATTTTGTTTTCAGCATCAGGGCCAAATATGGTGGTGATGACGAACACAATGCTGTCCATGGTAGTGATAGTTCAACCAGTGCCGAGAGGGAGATTCGTTTCTTCTTTCCAGATAGTAAGTATCAGGAACACAGACTCCTTAAAACTTTAAATGAATTCTGGACTCAGTACTACATGTAATTAATGTATACATAAGTTCATTAAAAAAAATATAAGTAATCTATTTTACACACAATTAAAAACCCACCAGGGCATAGCAGTTAGTTCAACAGAAGAAAAATGTGAAAAAAAAAATCAGGATTAGCACTAGAGAAGTTTATGCCTTAAAGGAAACAAATTTTAATAAATAATTTAAGATGAAACAAGATGAACATTTCTACTTAAACATTTGACCTAAAACATGTTAGAAAAATAAACAGAAGTTTCTTAAACATTTTGGATTTAAAGGTTTTTGATACATGTCTTATTTCTATTTACAGATTGATAGGGTTGAGAGTGCAATCCAAGTGAAAGTAAAGTCAGATTTACTGATGGAAAAGGATACTTTTTGTTTTATATTTCTTTAAAGGTCAACTGTTGGTATAAATGGTTAAAGACCATATGTCACCTTGCTTTTTTGTAACGTTTTAAAGCATTATTACACATCATAATATAAGAAACAATTTCATTGTTCTTACTCTTAATTCAGAAACAGTTTGCTTGTTTGAGACAGTTTAATGAACTTACAATGCTAAAATCCAGTATTTTATACTCCATGGTGGACAGAGTGCATAGAGCCCATTGTGTAGCTTTGCATTAAGAAAACAACAATTTGTTTGAGACTTGTCATGTGGTTGGCTGCTTTTTCTCATGATTGCAAATTGCCTGATGAGTTGGTACAATCTTCATTTATTTCCAAAACTCACCTACACAGATAAAGGATTTCACTTTTAATAGAGCTGTAATCTCGTGTTCTCAGCATTGCAGTCAAGAACTTTAATAATAATAATATTTTTTTCTTAATCTCAACATGAATTCTCGAGGCTTATGGTACTGATATTTTATTTTCATTTCTTCCTGGTTTCTGTTTTTCTTTTTGTTTTACATTGGTGGAATTATAAGCACAGGAGAAACTAGAATTATGAACTTGGAGTTGACATTTAACACAAAATTACACACAAATATTTTAATTGTGTGGTATGAATAACTAGATATTTGTGCCCTTTCTGTTTGAGTTTTGAGCCACAATTAAAAAAAAATTTACTGATGTTATGAGGTCTTCAAGTAATTGTTTTTAAATTATAAGGTTAAAAAACTAAACCAATAATTTTCTGTTTTTATGGAGTAGTCAGTTTATTTTCAAATTTTTAATAATTTGAATTTTTGTTCTTTATTAATATTTTTATGTATTTTCATGATTTTGTGAGAAATTATCCTTAAAATTTACTGACATTTGACTCACTATCTGAGAGTTTGAATTCTGTCATAGACCTTTCTGCTGTGACAGAACACAGATAGCCCTTTCTGTAGTTTTGTGCAAAATTCAACAAGAACAAACAAATTATATGATATATTAATTTTCCAAATAACTTTGAAAAGGTCTGTATATTATGTTAGGCCTAACATGATTATAGGTAAATTATTTTATTTTTATTAGCTGTATTTGAGTCCACATTAATTGGGGATACAGCTCGTGACTACTTGGCTAAGTATATCAATCCCACTTTGTCAAAAGCACTGGTAGAACTCTGTAAAGAAAAGCCTGCTGACCCTGTGGTGAGTACTATTTACAATTTCGTTTTTATAAATTTACTGAAATACCTGTAATGGCTATATTATATAAATAAATTGGTCAAAAAAATATATTCTCAGCTTAATTTATATAAATCTGCCACAAGAATTTGTATGCACCTGATAAAACTCTCTTCCTATTTGCAAAAATATTAGATTTTTTACTTGTGAAACTTGAAGCCATTTAACAAGATTAACTTTTGTTACTAATGCATTATGATGTCATTCTAATTCTGATTATGTAACTTGTACATTTAAGTTTATGTATTCTGGAAGAACACTACACTATTATCAGTAATAGTTTGTTCTTGTAAAGAGGTTTTTAGTAAATAATAGCTTACTAGAATGAATTTGAATACCTACAAAATATTTTACATTATAAACAATGTAATGTTAACTTTACAGTTAAAATTACAGTGCAAAACAGATACATGACTGAATTCTTGCTCTTTTTGGGACTAAGACTGTCAAAAGCAAAGAACATAGAAACTTCTAAAACGAAGAGCAAATTATCATATATGTTTCTACATACTGTTTTGATTGCAAACCTCTATTTCAATAACACAATTAAATATAATTTTGAAAAAGATTTTTACTTCTTGAAAGTGTTTTGTGGTTAAATTTATTTAATAATTTGAATGTTTCTTTTGTGGAAATCTTCACTTTTAATTTACTAGTTTATCAAAATAAGAAATTTAAAAACATTAAGGTGTAAGACAGTGAAAACAAACTTTTAGCATTTCATTAATATTAAGATGAAAAATAAATTAATGAACTTATTTGTTATTAAAAGTATCCTTTAACTTCTATTTAGGGAGGTATTGGATGTCTGATGGTCAAAAGTTTGATGTGGTGTTTTATATATGTTTAGGCTCTGTTATCCCTTCATGTTTCTTTTAGGTTAGCATCACTTTAGTAGTAAGTATTCTGCCTGTACGACATTATTCTTAAGCTCACCTCTCTATATTTCTAATTTTTAAATTTATCTTTGCTGAATTTAGTTTGAGCTCATGAGGATGTAAACACAATTCTATTTAAAATATTTATTAAAAAGGATGAACATTTTTTCTATCCAGTTTGTACTACTTATAAAGCTTTGTAAACAATTTTTCATCTATTTTTATTTTTAATGTAAGAAACTTGTATAGATGGTATTTTATTGACAGGTGTGGTTAGCTGACTGGCTTTTGGCAAATAATCCATACCGTGCTGGTGTTCAAGAAACAGTAGAATCCAATTGAAATTATAAATGAGGAACCTATATGTGTGTGTGTGTGTGTGTGTATACACACACACACAACAAACATACATTAAAATTAGAATACTGTAGAACTTCTGAGCAAAATAAGCTGCTATCAAAATGTTAGAATCTGACTCTTGTATAATTTTGTGATATTTTGTAGTATGAGCACATGCATTAGAACAGATGAAAGTTTTTATCAAAGTGTGCTTACCTTTTTTTTCTTCATTGACATGATTTTAATTTTATTCTCCAATTTGTTTTAACATTAAACCTTAGCATAGAAGTTGTTCAATGAAGTTCATTGAAACCAAATATTTTATTATTTATATGAATTTTGCAAATATTTTATGTTTAGGAGAAAAATATTTCATTTTAATTCACATGTTGTGAATGTTCAACTGTGATCCTAACATATAAAAAATAAATAAATAAATATATATATATATATATATATATTTCATTAGAATTATAGTGAAAATGGTTTCATTATAATATTGAACCAGTATGCCACCATTAGAATTTCTACTGAATAAGTGATCTATTATTTAAAACAGTAAACTTATTGAAATAAACAGAAATATATGTACTAGTATTACTGCAGTAATGCCAATGAAGTTTGCACAATTCGAATATTACAAATAAGCTCTTTTGTAATTCTGAAAATATAATCACAGAAAGATTAGTAGTGTCCAACATTTTTCATATATTCAGAGCAGTCTTTACAAAACCTGTCATTAAATTAAAATATGAATTCAGTTTATACCATAATGTTCAATTACAAAAGATGCAATATGCCTATTTAAAGTATTCAGAGTAATTCTTTCATTATAACAAAATTAATTTTTCTATACTGGATATAAATGTTAGTTTCAATTTTTCAAATATTTGAGTTTTTTTTTCAATTTGTGCACCTATTTTATTAAAAAAAACATTTTGAACTCTTCATTCCTTTCACAAAACATGTAATAATGATATGGAGTAGTTAATTATGTGTATAGGAAATTATACAAATATCCAGATTATATGAACAGCTATTCATTGTGTGTACCTTATTTCTTAAATGTCTTTACTTCTGGAATTACAAATGTGCATCTGTTGATTTACAGTAGGAATGATTTCTGCTACAGACTTGTAACTTTATAGGCAGTTTTCTTTTATTAAAACATACATTTTCGCTAGCATTTCGAAACTAAAGAGCTGTTCGTAAATGGAAGGAATACAAATAGTTTAATTAAAAAACAAAACAGAAAAGCCATCACAAAAAAGCCAGAATATGTGGAAACTGTCTAAATACAGAACAAATTAAACATAAAAATAAGTACACTGGATATAGTACTTAACCTTTGACGAAATAAGACCAAAAGGCACGCTAAACCTTCATCAAAAGTTTTACTTCTACAGAAAGTTTAACATTTCCAGCTACAAGCTGTTAATTGTGTAATGCTAGCTCCAAATCTCATTTCATTCAGTTTTCTTCAATATACACTCTAAACGTATGTTAAATAAAGCAATATCATGTTGGACTTAGTTTATTTATTCCTATGCAACACCCATAACAACCATTTCAAACAGTTGCATTATTTAAAATAAATATTTTCTGAAGCCAGTTAAGCCTCAATTCAACATCTTTGAATAACTAAAGTTATAAGGTTTTAGTAATTCTTCCATAAAAATTGTATCTTTAGAGCAAGTGTTTGAGAAAATTGCTTTTCATTACTTTGAATAATAATAATAGCATACCAGTACCAAAAATTTTATGCCAAAAACCATACATTTGAAAACATTGAAACTTGTGAACAATTCACACACAAATGAGGAACTACAGCTCATTTAACAAACCAAACGAACACATCCTCCATTAAAAAAAACGTACTTCTCTGTAAATTATATTCTTACGGAAATATGTACTTGTTTCTTTTAAAAAAGCCATGAATGTCTATAACTAACAACATTAATTTTGAAACAAATTAAATGTATATTTTATCAAAATAAGCATAAAATTCTGAAAAGCTTTTTATCATTGTTTGAGGTTATGCCTCCGTTACAGTAAAATATTTTTGAAATAGTAACCAGCATTCTTCAGCCACTAAAACCTAAAGTTAATATGCCTTTATACCTTCAAGAAAGCATAAAATGTTAGCAAATTCAATACAAGAGATGATATGCACATTTAATAACCAAACAATATATTTAATTATTTGCTATAATAAATTGAAATTGATATTTAAATACTTGCTCTCTTACCAATTCCTTAATTTCTGAAGAAAAATAAAGAGGGGTCTATATTCTGAAAACTCCCAGGCTATTGGGGTTCTTTGTTACTTTTTTGACCTTCATATTTATGTATATATTCCTTTTTTGAAGATACAGGACCTGATCTAATTTTTTTTTTGCTAGCAGGCATTACAGTCTGAAATTTAGCAGTACTATAAATATAGTTCATTATATCTTTTAAGAAGCACTTTCTTGGACATTTCCTTTTTTTTTTAATGAATTAATTAAAGTTTAATGAAATGTCCTGAAGGAAATAATCTATAAAAAATAAACTAAATGGTTTAAAGTCTCATCTTACTATGAATACATTTGCCCAACTGTATGTTCTTACTTGTTATAACTTCACTAATGGATTTTGAAGAAATGAGAAGATTTTGTGAAAATTTGTTGTGATGTGTTCTTATTACTTATTCAGTGAACACTAATTTTTATTCTAAGCTTTACACAAAAAATGTCTGTGATCTTAATTCAATCTTACTTATTTTTTACATCTGATCGAAATAGTAACCAATACATTTGTATTATCCCTTTGATGAAAGCTAGTGGCAGAAGCCAGTTGCAAAACGTAATAATGCTCAAGTATAAATACTTAATATTTATATTAATGTAATAATAATAATATGTCTTACTTCACATATTCAGGAACGAGTAATCATAGCAGTTAATATTACAATACTTTGACATTAATATCCAAGTAATGTTCCTATCTTAAAAAAATAATTAAATATTGATAGTATGAATGCTTTAGTTAGAAAAAATATATAAACCATAATAACTGAATATACAAGGGGCAATAAAGGATGTTAACTGATACAACAATTTAGTAGTAAGTTGGTTGTATTTACAGCCAATAAGAGGGCTATACTATTATCTAATGGTTTCAACATTCTTGCAGCATATACTTTATATTCAAAGGTTTTTAGTTCAAAGTCAAACCAACTTTTAATTAGATCCAACAAGTTATTCCATTTATTTTTAAATAAGTAGAATGATTTTATAGTTACTATTAATATTCTTCAAAGATAACGTTTAGTTAATGCTGAAACAAAAACTGTCAGTTTTTGTGGAAAAAAACAAACGTACTAATTTCAGCAACTTAAAGAAAAATATTATACTTAAGTACACTTGAAGATGTGCAACAAAATCACCACTCTTTGATGCAAATTCTCTGACCTAATTCTTACATCAACAGAACAGACATACGAAACTTTTATGGAATCCAGGTGAAAAGTAAACAGCTTAATATGTGATGTATCAAACAAAGGCTCACAAAATAATAAGTGTCTGAGATATAAAACATTTACAATATTTCTACTGATACTGGAACTGTCGAAATGACACTATTTGATTAAAGATTTTAACTTAAAGGAGCTTTTAAAATCCTGCAAGAAGGGATGAAATCATCTAATTTATAACTTTCTTTTCCAAAACCTTCTTCTACTTCCATTTTATACTAGTCTAAGAAAAATTTACTAAAGGAGGTTTGGAAAACTTGCATTAACCAATAGAAACTGCAGGCTCCGTTATCAGTTAATAGACATGGTAAATTTTTTTTTACACACAAAAAAACGTTTATTTTCTCAACATTTTATTCATGGAAAAGGAAGTACATGGCAATTACAGTTTTGGTATGACTCCAATTGTAGTGTACATTCTCTTGAAAAGGGCTCATAATGAAAAAATTGAGAAAATAAGGACACTTTTTTTTTAGAGAGAAAAACATTGTTGCTATCTCTCAAATATGTCCAAACATCTCCAACTGCACTGCACTTTTGAAAACTGAAGAGGCTATACTTATGAAAAGTTGTATTGTGAACAATCCTCATATGCTAAACAAGCTCTGGAAACTATAAGGAGGGATGTGAAGATCTAGATTATGTAAATGTTTCCTCATAAACTTAGGATGTTTTAGAAAGCATGCAAGGAGAAGGTGAAAATATTCAAATTACACTATTCTTCATTGTTAACTGTTTTAATTAAATGTACAGCATAGAAATCAAAATGCAGAATATAGATATTAAAATAACTTATTTTCTGATACTGTATTTAAAACACAAGCCTCTGCTTAATAGTATGTGCATGAAACTCAAAAAAGTATAATTTCAGTAGTAAGTTTAAGACTTTCCTGTAAGTTTTTATGCAAACAAAATCATGGTTAAATTCTCATTGTAATCTTAATGTGCCATATCATAAAACCACTTACACCTTTCTGCAATATTCAGGTGAATAGTAAAATCTCAAATTTTTTTAGCCACAATTAACAAGGGAGCGAGTTTGTTTTATAGCTTTTATTTTAAACTTGATTAAAAATACATAAGTATATTTCCCTAATGTATAGTGTACATTTCTTCCTTCTAATAACTACTGCTTCCGGTATATTTTAACAGTCACATTTTCCAACAGCTAAGTTTCACAGGAAACATGACAAAAAGCAAAGAAACTAATAAATAAAACTTTTTGTTATGGTGTGCGTGTGCATGCAGTAAACCTTTTTTTTTTTTTAATATATATATATATATATGCTAATTTTCAGATAAGTAAATGAGGATTAATGATTTACCTAGCTCTCTACTGTATATGAAAAAAATAAAATAAAATAGAACTGAAAAAGTTTCATTTTTCAATCTACATCATTAAGTACACGTGAAAGAGGTAAACTAAACATACTGAAGATGACATCCGAGTTCAACTGAATTATTGTTAGTCTAATAAGATTGTGAATGCCATTTCACAATTAAAAAGATGTTTATTGTATAAAAAGTGCTTTAGTGTTCAAACAAAGTGAAAAATTATAAAATCTTATAAAAAAATACCTATTATCTTATTAATAGTAAATCTATTTATGCCAAATTACAACTGTAACTTTTACACCAATACTGCAGAAACTATAACAGTTGCCTGGAGCAATACATACAAATGTGCACAGGGAGGTACATTGTTTATAACAGGATGTTTTTTTATGAAAAAAACAAACATCTTACATTAAACACTTGAAACATGTTAATGGAAAATCATTTAAAATTATATCACACACACTTTTCTGATTAAGACATTCTTCTTAGTTGTT